GGACAGACTTGTCTCATTATTTTCTTGTATTTATTTAATATCAACAATTTTTAAGCCTTTCATTGCTTACAGTCCAGAGCCTCATAATGGCTCCTAAAATTAAAACTCGTTATTGAATTACATCTAAGTAATGAAGCTGAGCTGCTAAACAATATTTTATTCAGTTTGTATTTTTTCTCCTCTGATGCCGACAGTGACAGAATAATTAACTCGGAACAATCGATCCTGAGAAACGTTCAAATTATATACAAGTTGAGGAAAAACATTGAAACTGATAAAACGCATCGTGATTTATCTGCTTTCATTTAAAAATACAAATACTATAGAATGCTGCATGACATATTTTAGGATTAATGATATAAAGTTTGATATGAATTTATAGTTATTTAATAAAAAGAAGAAGTGAAGGAACTCCGTGTCCCTTGCCCGGACGTGGGTTGCCGGGGCCCCACCCTGGAGCCAGGCCTGGGGAAGGGGCTCGTTAAGTGCCTGATGACCGGGTTTACCCATGGGGCCCAGTCGGGCTCAGCCTGAACGAGCAACATGGGTTTTCCTTCCTGTGGGACCACCACCTGCAGGAGGGGCCATACAAAGTGGGTGCATGACTCCATGGGCAGTAGCCGAAGGTGGGGGCCATGGCGCTCTGACCCTGGCTTACCAAAGCTGGCTCTTGGGACATGGAACGTGACCTCAATGATGGAGAAGGAGCCTGAGCTTGTGCGTGAGGTTGACGGGTATCGACTAGATATAGTTGGGCTCACCTCGACGCACAGCATGGGCTCTGGACCCGATCTCCTTGAGAGGGGCTGGACCTTGTTCCACTCTGGAGTTGCCCATGGTGAGAGGCATCGAGCTGGTGTGGGGCTACTTAGCCCCCGACTTGGTGCCTGTGTGTTGAGTTTTCCCCGGTAGATGAGAGGGTGGCTTCCCTGCACTTTCAGGTGTGGGGACGGACTCTGACTTTGTGCCTACGTGCCAATCGGCAGTTCAGAGTATCAGGCCTTCTTAGTCCTTAGCAGGGGTGCTGGAAGGCTGTCAAGCTGAAGGAGTCCTATTGGGCCTGTTGGTCAGTGGGTTTTTGAAGGCAGCTGAGGAGTACCGGAGGGCCAAGCGGTCCGCAGCCTTGGCTGTTGCTGAGGCAAAAGCTCGGATGTGGGAGGAGTTCAGTGAGACCTTTGATAGAGACTCTGTCGGCTCTGAGGAGATTCTGGCAGACCATCAGATGGCTGAGGAGGGGAAAGCAGCGCTTTACTAACACTGTTCAGTGAAGGTGGAGTGTTGTTGACCTCAACCAGTGATGTCATCGGGAGGTGGAAGGAATACTTCTCAGACCTTCTCAATCCCACCAGCACATCTTCAATGGAGAAAGCGGAGTCAGGGGACTTTGGGGTTGGTCTGTCCATAACCATGGCAGAGTTAGTTAAAAAGCTCAGCAGTTGCTCTGGGGGTGGATGAGATTCACCTGATTTCTTTAAGGCTCTGGATGTTGTGGGACTGTCTTTGTTGACACGCCTTTGCAACATCATGTGGACATCGGGGGCAGTGCTACTGGATTGGCAGACTGGGGTGGTGGTTCCCCTCTTCAAAAAGGGGGACTCTCCTTAGCCTCCGTGGTAAGGTCTATTCAGGGGTACTGGAGAAGAAAGTCTGATTGTTGGTTGAACCCACCAACCCTAATTAGAAAGAAGCAGAT